AGCACCTCCCGCAGCCACTGGGGAACGTGCTCTGCGGCGTGTCATGACCATGCCCCAGGGAAGGACACACCACTGTGCAAAATAGAGAGATGCCTTCTTTGCCTTCTGGCGCCCTTCTGCGCAAACTGCTGCGCAAACTGCTGCGTCTGTTCGCTGCCTCTGTTGGCTGCGCTCTGGGAGCTGCGCTCTAGGCCTGGCTCTTACATAGGCCTCTGCCTAGCAGTGACTCACAAGGGTGCTTGACCCACCCAATCAGGAGCCACCTGATAATATAAGACAAGATAAAAATGTTTTCCTCACAGGGCTTCTGTAGGCCTTGATCACCACAGCTTTTCCTGTACCCAGGCCAGTTTGTAGTCTGTAATGTCTTTCATATTTTGTTGCTGTTTGCTTGTATTATACAGGTCCACATTTTACATCTGAGCAGTAAAAGTCAGGAAGACAGGTCTGATGGACTGTAATGAAGGTAGCAAAACAGTGTAAAATGATAACATCTTGATAAATCAATTAATATTTTTATGGCTAATGATAAAAAAAATAAATGAAGGGGTAGGCAAGAGTGAGGTCAGACAGTGGCACCACAACATGATTTTGGGTGTGGACTGCTTAACATCACTAAAAAGATTTCTGAATATTACTCCTCAAGTCAAGATAAATCTCTTTTTCGTCTGTTTCTTTGCTTGAAAGCTTGAAGAGATATCAGTTCCTGACTGTAGAGGGTACACATGAGGATGCTTAAAGTTAAACCTTTCTCCCCACCTTCTTTCTGGTGCACTTCTCCCCGGATATTTACTGAACTGTTTCTGGGCTCCACATATTGGTGTTTTCAAATTTCCTGAGACAAAGCAAAGTCCAAAAGTGTCTCTAACTTTCTCCAACTCCCTTTTGGCAAACTAAGAGCTTTCTCTTGGAGATTCAAGTTCACCTCTCTAGGGACATTGATAGCAACGACTTTGCAAAAGAGATATTAGTTACTCATTTCACATAGCACAGGAAGAAACTGAGGAGGGCAAAATGTCTCTATCATAGCCTGTCTCAGCTACCTGTTCATTTTTTGATGCTCAGTCAGATTTGATCAGGGTCCTTACATGTTTGCGACTGCTTCATGCAATTTCTTCTTTGCATCATGGAATCTTTATTTTGCCTTAGTCCTTGATGACCAACTCATTCTCTCTCATTCTCTCATTCTCCCTTGATCTACCTCATCAGTTAATCAAAATCCCCATCCAGTCCCTTATATTGAAACTCAGACATGAATAATCAATTTGTTTTGTGCTGCAGACAAATGTTTATCTAAGAGGGCTTTTGGCTGAAAAATAGACCACCAAGGTTAGATGCATCTTCAGCTGTTAGCTCTCTGTCATCACTTCTGAATTCTATCCCAAAGATAGAGGTTCAGGTACCCCAAAAGAGACCCTACATATCTAAATTGTCATTTACAGTGTGACACAGACTCTGATAGAAAATCTCCAGAGTCAAACTTCTCCAGATTCCCATTGCTGTCCTTATTTCTTTGCTTGGCAGCTTCAAGAAGGAACTTGTTTCTAACATAAGCCATACAGGTAAATACTGCAAGCCATCCTCTGCTATTTTTCTTTGCACGGACTAAAGGGCAGTTCTTCACCTTGGGCCTTTCTTTGAGCTTGCAAATTGTTGCATGTACTTGTGAGGGAACCCAGCGTTCTGAAGTGGATTTTTCCTACAATAGGTCCATAAAGAAGACTTGAAGGCCTTCAGACTAGAAAATGCCAGGTTCTATCTGAATTTTAAAAAGAAAATTTAGAATTATGAAGAGAGAAAACTCAAAGTGACTACAGAAGTCAGAGTAGAAATAAAAAGCTTTCCTAATAGTATTGGTGTCTTTGCAGGCAGGTCCTTACATCCAGCCAAATCCATGACTTTCTGACTGGCAGCTGACTTGGTCATTGCTCTTGGATCCCATGGCAGTCCTTTTCACTCCCCTGCTCTTCTCCATGAGTTGCAGGCCCCAGCTCTGGGCTGCAGCTCCCTGGTGCTGCAATGGCTGAGACCTTCTCACCCCGAGAGGGCTCAGAAGCCCCCAAGGGAAGGAGCAATCTCCCCCGACTCCCCGTACCACCTGTCTTACACTGTGCAAGTAGGCACAATGCTTGCACATCACAATACTATGTAGCAGATACCGTGAATATATGGCAAACTCAATTTTCGCCTTTTTTGTCCATAACAGCAAAAAATTATATGTGTCCACAAGTCAGAGTGCACAGACATACACAAGTCTTACGCAGTCTGGACATAAGGCATGCAGTGCTAGGACCCTTGCCACAAGAAACCTGCTGCCACAAGTCTTCCTTAAGGTTATCACTTGTCAGGGGGAAAAGAAAGAACCAGAAGCACTTATTTCCACCCTGTTCCAAAGGTGGAAGAGGACTCAAGACTGCAAATCTGGTCACTAGCAAGCACAGCACAGAGTCCATAAAAGGAAACAGAACAGTTTGCTAAACTAGGTGATACATCAATCCCTTGTGCTATGTGCACTTTATTTACAGTGCAATTCCATATTCAAAATGATGATGAATGAAGCTGCAAAATACAGTTGGATTTTCATCATTTCAAGGCAGAAAGCAGAGTGAAAATTATCTGTGATTTTATCTTTTTCAACCTATTCCCAATAGTTAATTTGGAGGCATTTCAATTCGTTTACACAATCGTCTTTATCATTACTTCCCCACCACTTTCTTTTATTTTATAGCCCTCTGTCTGCTCGGTGTGCCTGGGGAGTACTGTGTTTTACATGCACCACTGCATGGACAGATAGGAAGTTTTACCAAGGTCGACAGATGCTAACCTACTCATAGAAGATAGGTTACGGCAGCTTCCTAGCTCAGCAAGGCATTATTCTTTCATGATATCAGTTTGGGCAACATCAAAACTGCAATAAAAAGTGCATTTTCTCCCAAGAAAGACAACAGCAAAAGCATGATAATATTTTATAAATATAGATATTTTCACTTCTCTCATAGCCTGTATGGAATTCAGTAATAATATCTAGCATAGAAACAGTATCTTATTAGAAACGTCAGTTAGTCACTCTGACCTAACATTTAATAGAATCTTTTATATATATATTTCTCTCTATGTATTTCTATTTTCTCCGCAGCTTCTTTCTTTTAAGGTACTTGTTATTTCTACTGCCAAAAAATTGCTGATCCACATGATTTGACCTCTCAGCAAAACCGTTTTCAAGTGTTATTTGTTTTTGTTTTCCAAAAACACACCATTAATTGTGTATATTTCATTTCCTGCTAAAAAGGAATTCTTATGAGCAAATAAAAATATTTCTATATTTCTCTTCATCATGTATCTTAAAATGCATAAATAATGTCACTACAGTATCATAGATTGGTCATTCTCTCCCTCTCATTTTTCTCTCCTTATCTATAAAGATAAGTGGTGTTAATGTAATAATGAATGGTTTGTTCTAGATGTTGCTCAGATTTACTGAGTGCTGGGAGAGAAAAGTCAAAGCACTTTTGGCTTGTCATTTGCACTGTTCAACTTCTTACTCTAACTACTTAGATCAGCAACTTCTTCAACCAATTAAGGCAAAGAACTCTGGGATGGACGTAGTCTACATGATAAAATAGTCATTCCTAAGCCATGGTACCGTATTAAAATTGTTTATGGAAAACTGCAGTATCTCACTCTGGTATGAACAGCAATTCAGAGTCACTAATGGGAAAGGAAAAGCCGATTTTTTTCCGCCCTTCTTCTACAGTCCTACAACATGTTTCCCGTGGAGCCAGCAGGAAAATGTTTGTTCTTACCCCACAGCCTAGTGCATTGCTTGGTTCACATACAATTTTCCTCACTCCTGGTTCCGGAAGCAAGCCTGCTCCACAGCCGGGAGTGGGGCACAGCACTCCCCCCATCTGCAGCACGCACTCCTCGGCACCATAGCGCTGGTAGCGGTTGTACTACAAGGCAACAGACCTGCGTTAGAATTTTAGCAGCATGCAAAAAAAAGTCCATAAACTTGGAGCTTGAACTTCCCCCACACAATACAGTCAGTTGTTTTAATATCTCACGTGGTAACTGCAGGCTATTTGTCAGATATCTAGGAATTCTCAGCATTCTAGTAGGGAAATATAGTCCAAAACCAGATATTGGTAATTCCTGTATACAAACTGAAAAGAAACCCCCTTAGCCCCCAAAGGAACTATATCTGGAAGTACAGTATAATGTTTTAGAGCTAAAGGGTTGTAAAGATTGCCCAGTCAACTTTCTTCTCAAAACAAATTTCCTGAGAACTGTCTGTCAAAATATTTCTCTCAGATACATTTATTTTAGTATCAGGTGGATTTTTTTTTGCTGTGGCCCTCAGGAAAATTTTTAAATATTTTGCAGTTATTATGGGGTACCATCCCAAGAGCCTAAAAGGCTATGGAAATGTCTCAGTTTTCCTGATGGAGACACTGAGATACAGGAATATTTAATAACTTACTCAAGTTCACACAGGCAACTTGTGCAAGAGTAAAGGAGAAAATCTAGGTCTCATGAACAAGACGGGGTTTTTAGCTCCCAGTGTATCCTCAATGACACAAACCCCACTTTAAAATGATTGATTTGCCTGCAATAACTTTCACTGGTCTAACTTACCCTGCTTTCAAACTGAGATAAGCTGAACATGCTTAAATCATTAGCATTAAATGAGCATTAAATCATGCTGTGCACATGTAAATCGTGTCCCCTCTAGGCACAGCATTGGTGCAGTTCCACACTAGTGGCTATATGACCACTGTAAAGTGGGCTTCAGATTCAACCTATAAATCTGATCTACTGTAGAGGGAAATAAATGAAAGTATTCAGTCCAAACAGCCCCACAGAACAGAAGAGGAAAATCCTAAAGGCCAGAGAAGAAGGGAGTTGTATGAATTTTCTCTGAGGGAGCTGAATGACGTGATGGTGTGAGAAAGGAACAAAATGAAGCTTTGTGTTTTAGCACTCACAATGGTATTTAGTGCTTCATAAATTTTTATCTCATAACTGCTTATGAAAACCCTGTTGTACCCCCTTTTTTTAGGAAAACAAACAAAAAATTTTCTCTCCATTCCCCAACCCTCTCCAAAGAAACTCATCAAAGAAAACTGAAGCATTAGGACCAAAACCTCATACACAAAGCATTCAAAGAAAGCATTTTAAATTACAAAGACACCGAATATTTTGCAGGTACATGTAAGAAGATTGTTTTGCAAATGTTGCCATAACATGTCTTGTTCCAGTGATTTTTTTTCAAATAGTATGTGGATTTTAAAAACACTGTAATATATAGAGAGACATAAAAGTGTTACATCCCATAACAAAAATTTCTCAAACCGAAAGTAACGTCATTAATCTAACAAGAATAGTAAAAAAAAAAAAAATCCAGACAAACTCCCTCTCAAAAGAAAGCAGAGAAAGCCTTCAAAATATTACTCAATGCACGGAAGGCAGCCAGAAACTATGAATTAAGGTTTTACATCTTGGATCTTGAAGATACCAGCATTTTGAGAAATTCACAAGACGTGTCTGCAAGGTCTCCTTGAATGTGGGGGCTCAACAAATCAACTGGTGTTTTTCTGTGTTACTATTATTACGCTCAAACCTAGAGTAATGGAATGAATATTTAATGTGTGACTGTCAATTTTCAGCAAAGTTTGTGATCCTTGCAGTAAATATGTGCTGAGTGCTCTGAGTCATTTTGCTGGCCTTGAACAGAAACACTGGTAATCACAGCTGCAAAACTCTCTGCTGACCTAATTTTTCTACAGGGCACGGACTGGACCTGAAGGTGACGATGGAGATTGTCTTACCGTGTTAAAAGTTAACATTCTATTGTGCTAAAGGTTTGATTGCTAGTAGCTTCTTATTATAGAGACAAATGGCAGTGACACTATAGTTGAGATTCTGTCAGCATTTCCATTATAAATTCTCAGCTGAAAAAAAGAATATACTTTCCAGTCCCTAACTCAGCATAAAAGGGCATGAAGCGATTCCTCCTGTCTCCTCTCCTTCTTTTTTTGATATACAAAATGGGGGATAGGAAATGTTGGAATCAATCTGTCTTCCTAAGTCATGCAAAGAGAATAGTACCACTGGTGAGAGGGGGAAAGAAGTCATATTTTATCCAAGAATTTTGTTATTTTATACTGGTTCCGCACAAAAATCATGCTAAATCATTATATAATTACAGCACTGTCAGAAGTGATTTTCACACTACAACATCCAAACAAATGGGTCAATTTGAAGACAGGAAAGATTCTACTAAACGTGTTTGCACACCTTGCTATCCAGTTAAAAGCCTGTTTCCTACCTTCACAAATCAAATACATTTATAAGATATCATTTTACAATTTATTTTTTCTTGTGCCTATACAGTAGCCTAGCGAAAACCCAGCAAACAACTAAAACATGTAGTAGCAGAATGTATGCAGGTTTGCTGCCATTACACAATCATACGTAAAATATGCTGATTTATATGCTATATTCCGTGGTCTGAAACAAATCGTCTCACTTTACATTAAGGGTACATTTATAAAAGGCTTGTAAAGGACCAAAACACTTATTCATGAATTATTGATTATCTACTTGCATATAGCCAGAGATTATAACTACTAGACGCATTTTCTCCTGATACACCACAGCCATACGTATCACACAGTCCTGATGCAATCAACATATTTAAAACAAGTCAGTTTTCAAAAGCACTTGAGTGGCCTTGGAGTCCTGGAGGTATTTTCAATCATATGCCTGGATCAGATATTAAAGGATATTCTACCACTGGTTTACTTTACCTCTTACTCTGAACTGGATATTTAAAGTGGGATTCATTTCACTTAGCTTAGATTCCCACAGTGACGATGCCTATGGTTGCATCCATTGTTCAGACCCTCCCTCATAACTAATAGAGATAAATAAGATGTAATTCATCGTTTCTATTCTAGATTTGTACATTAATATGAGAAGAACCGAGACCCAAAGTGTCATGTTCTATTAACTATAAGGGGACTTTAAACAATTAGCTAAATGGTGACACCTAAAGTCAGATGACTCTCACTTTAAGTGCTTCTGCACCAATAATTCTGATCCTAAGTCACTTAGCCTAAGCTATTTTTGAAAGCAAGGTTTAGGTACCTAAATAGGCTACACTGAATCACTTCATCAACTTTAGCTCTTCAGAAATTAAGCATCTTACAGGCTCCAACTATATCACATGAAAAGAGAAAGCCGTCCCTAGAAGGGAATTTATCCAGTCTTAAATGTGATGTCTAAGATTGGCGGGATGAATCACCTTGTGGAAGTGCTATAGCTGAAGCTGAGACAACTAACATTTGCTAGACATTTGTAACATTTGCTAGACATCTAACATTTAGATAGCTGTCATTGAATGAGGTGAATTTAAAATATTAAAATATTTTACAATATCTATTATTCAATTATTATTAGTTTCCCCAATTTAAGAGATGAACTCATCACATGTAAAAGGTGTCTGAACATGTTATAAGCAGGAAAAAATAGCTCCAATTATTTTTAGGAAGATGCTATTACAGAATTTAATATATGGGAACTTGACCATACTAGCATTCATGATACCTGATTTCAATTCCTGGCAGCAGCACAGCCTTCCTGTAGTTTTCATGTAAGTCACTTAATCTGTGCTCCTCATCAGTTCCCCATTTGTTAAGAGGGAGAATGATATTTCCTGATTTCACTGTAGTGTTGAGAGGCAAAAACCATTAATAGTCATGAGGACATCAAATACTATGGTAATGAGGGGCATAAAATTACACAGAAATCACCAGCCATCTACTGCTGCTAGAAATCAGCTTTTGAGCAAAGCATGTCAGACATTTATATACTACTGTAATAAAGGTCTCAGAAATACAGGTAGGTAAATAATCACCAGATTCACCAATGGACCATATATTTCAATGCTTATTTGAAAAAAAGTTTGTTAAAAATCATGATTTGCTTCAAATCACCAGCACTAAGACAACTACAGGTATGTGCACAAGATAGTCATAAAACATTGTGTGTGTGTGTGTGTGTGTATGTGTGTGATAATAGCATTCTGCAGTGAATCTGCCCTTCAGTTTGAAAATTGTACCACTCAGGTCAATTTATACTTCTAATGCAATAAAATTTTAAGTGAAAAAAATCCCAGTTGTACTTATGGTATTTATACCATATCATGAAGTTCTTTCATGCAAGCTTTGTTTATAAAGACTTGCCAGGGTTTTTATAAATGACTTTTATAAATTATTATAAATTATAATATGACATAGACATGGAGGCTGGATAAATGTAACCGTTTATTCCCTGCTCCTCATTTCCCAGATTAAGATGGCATTCCTTTGAGTCTTAGAATGGTACCACGTTTTCAAATAGTGGAGATTCAATCTTTTGATACTGTAAATCAGGTAATATAACTGTAAATCATTGGGCTGACACAAGAATACAGCAGGTTTAACTAAGGGTCACAGCATTTTCTGCTACACTGAGATTCAGATATTAAGACAAACCTGAAATGGATGCAAAATACACCTTATGAACACAGTGCTTACTTGCCATGTTATTTAATTTGCAAGTCACGCTTCAATATGTACATGCTTGTCCTATTTTAATTTTGCTTTTACACATAGCACATACTTGTTGGGCTTTTTTTCTTTTTTTTCTCATACCTAAACACATCTGCTTGGTAGTAGCCTCCCAGGGAACTCTGGACAAAAGTTTAACAGTAGATGTAAAGCCAAAATTTTTAATCTCTGAAAAGTAATTTGATTAGTTGTTTCTTTTAACTGCATGTAACCGTCTCAGAGGAAAGAAAATCTACTTTCTGGAGTCAGTTTGTTTTTACTGCTCCTATAAATCAAATAACCATCTGTGTGTCTTAAAATTAGATTGTGGAGGCTATTAGTCCATAATGTAAACTAAGCAC